TGGGGATGTTTATGAGAAGGCTGCTGACCAATCTCTAGTGGTAAATGGATATGATTTGACAGCATGTGTTCCTGTTAAAGAAAATCTGAACTTGTGCTAGCTCCTCAACCTTCCCACCTTAGCAGATGAATGTCATTTGCTGCATCAGTGAACTGAAGACAATAACCATTGACACTTTGCTTCAGGACCCCTTGGGCTTATGAAGGCAATGTTTCTGAATGAGAACACAATCTGCTGATGAGTCACTGTGTCTACTGATGGCAACAAGAGCTTGAAGCTCCACAATTCAAATGAATGATTGTGTCTCTATTCTTTCAAGGAGTCGTTAAACATCAATGATGCATAATTCTCAGATCTACTCCTTAAGGGAGGAAAGGCTGATCCTGTAAGAATTTTCAAGCATTCATGATCTGTAATGCATTACTCTTGCTCTCCATTGAAAGCAGTTCTGAATGCTAATACTGTTAAGAAATGTGGCCAGATCATTCGTTTAAAATGAATGTGTTTATTATGTCTATGTAAGTGTTCTGTCTATCGTAGATAATAAAGTTGGGAAGTGCAATGCAAATAACCAGTTGTGTCAATTTGCACTAGATCCTTATAAGAAATATTTTGTTAATATATGCTAAAGAGATCAGATGATGTTCAGAATCAAATTACAAAGCATCGTGATCAATAATAAATAACAGTAAAGCAATGGAAAAAATATATAGGAATACTGAATGGTCTATGCTAAAACCTGAAGAAACGTATCACTCAACAACATGGATTCTTTTCCCTTTTTTGTTTATTGAAAACAGATTCTTCTCTCATACAATATAACTTGATCATAGTCCCCTTCCTCTCTATTCTTCCCAGTTCATCCCAACCTCCCCTCTCCTCTACCCCTCCATTTCCTCTTTAGAAAAGAGCAGGTTTCCAAGAAAGGACAGCAAAATAGGACAAAAAACAAACCAAAAACAAAATACTATGAGACAAAGCAAAAGCCCTTATACTGAAGCTGCACAGGGAAAATCAATAGAAGGAAGAAACTCAACAGCAGGCAAAATAATCAGAGACACACTCACTCTCACTGTTAGGAATCCTCCCCTCCACACATGCACACACAGAACCAAGCTATTAGCCATAGCATATACAGAGAGGATGTGGTGAAGACCCATGCAGACCTCCTGCTTGACACTTCAGCATCTTTGAGCCCATAAGTGTCTTGCTTACTTGATTTTGTGAGCATGCTATCTTGGTATTTTCCATCCCTTCTGACTCCTACAATCTTTCTTCCCCCTCTTCCAAGGATTTCTCTGATCTCTAAGATAAGGGACCCAATGAAACCTCCATTTTAGACCCCCCTCTCTCTGTCTCTGTCTCTGTCTCTGTCTCTGTCTCTGTCTCGGTCTCGGTCTCTCTCTCTCTCTCTCTCTCTCTCTCTCTCTCTCTCTCTCTCTTTGTATAATGTCTGGTTATGAGTCTCTGAACCTGCTCTCATCTACTGTCAGAGGAAGCCCCTCTGATGACAACAGGACAAGGTACCAGACTATGAGTGTAGCAGAATATAATTAGGTATCATTTAATTGACTGTTTTTAGATCCTTTGCCTTTGGTTATACCCTAGGTCTCTGGGCTACCCAATCTCTACTCCCTAGCCATTTAGGCAGTGTAGGAAATGGGCTTCTTCTTATGCCTTGAGCCTCAAGTTGATCCAAATATTTGTTGGCCATCCCCACAAGTTCTTTGCCATATTTGTCCAAGCACATCTTGCAGGCAGGACAAAGATGGTTTGTGGCTGGGCTGGTACCCTGGTTTTTCTACCCATGGCCTGCAGATTACCTTCTTGATCAAAAAGATTAGAACATAGGGATGAAGGCTCTGCAGAGGCACAAGCACAACCCCCCTCCTACACACACATTAAATAAGTGTGTGGATGCTGTCCTATATAATAGGGCATTGCTATAAGTATTCATAGAGTGACCTTATGCCCTGTATCAGCCTGAGTTTTTAGGAATCTCCATAGGAAACCCTTGATCAACATGTTAACCAAAAGCAACACAATTCCACCACTGAAAGATTTCTCTAGCTAAAAAAGATGGCCAGTTCAGCCTATGTATATGCCACTATTAGGAGTCCTCACTAGGGTCACCCTCATATATTCTAGGAATTTCATCTATACTAGGTTTTCACACCACCCCCAAGTGCCGCCCAATGCTAATTCTATCTTCCGACATTCTCTCCCTCCATCTCACTTCCTTTCTCATACCCCTGGCCCCACCCATCCCCAGTCCACCTGTAAAATCTACTCTACTTCCTCTTCCCAGGGAGATTCATACTTCCAAAGTAATGCCATAGTCTCTGTATCTAAGGACTGTAGCTTGATTATTATTTACTTAACAGGTAATACCTACTTAAAGTGAGTACACAGCATATTTACCTTTCTAAATATGGGTTGCCTCACTCAGGATGAGTTTTTTCTACTTCCATACATTTTCTTGTAAATTTCAAGATGTCATTGGTTTTAACAGATGAATAATATTCCACTAAATATATGGACCACATAATATTTTCTTTATTTTTCAATTGAGGGATACTTAGGTTGTTTCCAGTTTCTGGCTCCTATGAATAAATCCACTATGAACATAATTGAGCAAATGTTCTTCTAGTAGAATGAAGTGTCCTTTGGATGTTGCCCAAGAAATATTTTAGCTGAATCTTGAGGTAGATCAGCTCCCAGGTTTCTGAAGAATTGTCATATTTATGTTCATAATGGCTATACAAGTTTGCACTCCCAAAAGCAATAGGAAATTCTATACAACCTCTATAGCATTAACATTCACTTGTGATATTGGTCAGTTTGATTTTCATTTTCCTGATGGATAATGATGTTGGACATTTCTTTCAGTGTTTCTCCACCATTTGATATTCTATTGAGAATTCTCTTTTTAGAACTGTACCTCATTTTTAATTGGTTAACTTGTTTTTATACATAATTGCATGAGTTCTTGTGCATTTTAGATACTAGACTTCTATTGGATGTGGAGTTAAAAAGAAAAATCCCTGTTCTGCACGCTGTTTCTTAATGGCATCTGTTGCCTTAAAGAAGCTTTTCAGTTTCACAAGGTTCCATTTATTAATTGTTGATCTTAGTACCTACACTATCAGTATTATTTTTCAGAGATGTTTTATGCGCCAATACATTCAAGGATATTCCCCATATTGTATTCAGTGTATCTGGTAATACGTTGAAATCTTTGATTCACTTGTATTTAAGTTTTGTACTGGGTGATAATCATAGATTTATTTTTATTCCTCTACATGGAGACACCCATTTGACCAGCATCATTTATTCAAGATGATTTCTTTTATCCAGTGTGCATTTCTGGCTTCTTTGTAAATAATCAGATTTTACAGATTTTTCTGGGTGTTCAGTTTGATTACATTGATTAACATGTCTGTTTTCATGCAAAAACCATTAAAAAAGAAACAAGTACACCCAAGAGGAGTAGACAGAAAAATAGCATAAAAAAAGAGGACTTACATCAATAAAATAGAAACAAAAGGAAAAATACAAAGAATCTGTGAAACAAATAGTTGGTTCTTTGAGGAAATCAACAAAATTTACAGGCCTTTATGCAAACTAACTAAAATACATAGAGAGAGTATCAAAATTAATAAAATCAGAAACAAAAAGGGGGACATAACAACAGACAAAGAGGTAGTCTAGAGAGTCATAAACGCATATTTCAAAAAAACCTGAACTCTATCAAACTGGAAAAAAATAGAAAGAAATTGATAGGATCCACTTACCAAAGCTAAATCAAGAAGAGATAAATTAAACAGACATACAAACTCTAGTTAAATAGAAGCAGTCATTAAAATTCTCTCAAGTAATAAAAGCCCAAGGCCAGACAGTTTTAGTGCAGAATACAAACAGACATTCTAAGAAGAGTAAGAAGAAGAGTTGATGCCAAGACTTCTCAAATCATTCCAAAAATACAAACAGAAGGAAGACTGCCAAGATCATTTTATGAGGCCAAACTTACCCTCATGTCCAAACCAGAGAAAGAACCAACAAGAAAGAGAATTAGACAAATTTTCCTTATGAATACAGATGCAAAAATACTCAATAAAATACTCACAAATTAACTACAAGAACACATCAAAAACAAATATACACCATGATCAAGTAGGCTTCATTCTAGAGATGCAGGAAAGGTTCAATATAAGAAATTGGAGCAGGTCATTAAGCTTCCCCTCCTGGCAGGAGCCTACGCACCCCAGATTTCAGGTCTTCTTCTCCAACCACAGGACCAGGACTAGAACCAAGAAAAGAAGAACTACCAGAGTACTGGACTTGCTTGCACTCACCAAAAGGGAACTCTGGTCCCCTAACCAGCAGGCCAGGAAGAGGATCTTTCTGCACCTACTAGAAGAAGGGATGGGAAGGAGAATATACAAAAACACACTCAGCAACAGGAAAACAAATATGACAGCACCAGATTCTAGAGACTACACCAGCAAGACTTGAACACTCCAATGCAAATGAAGCAGAAGAGAATGACCTTAAAAATAACTTCATGAATATGATAGAGTCCATCAAAGAGGATATGGGAAAATCCCTTAAAGAAACAGGAAAAAAAAAAAAACCAAAAAAAAAAAAACAAGAAATGGAAGAAAAAACAAAAAAAAAGCAATGAATGGAGGAAAACACACAGCAAAAAATTGCAAGAAACAGTTCAAACAGTGAAAGGGTTGAAAATTTAACTAGAGACAGTTAAAAAAACAGAGTCTGAAGGAATGCTGGAAATACAAAAACTGGGCAAATGGTCAGGTACTACAGATGCAAGCATAGCAAAGAAAATACATGAGAAGGAAAAGAGAATCTCAGGTGTTAAAGATACACTAGAAGACGCTGCTTCCTGGGCCAAGTTCGCCCGCGGCCCCAGCAGCGCCAGGTGCCTTTGCTCGCCCAGCTCCCCCAGTGCTGTCCGCTGGCCTGCCCGCAGGCCCGCCGCCGCCGCCGACATGGCGACAAGCTCCTGTAGGGAGAAGGCTCAGAAGCTGAACGAGCAGCACCAGCTCATCCTGTCCAAACTGCTGAGGGAGGAGGACAACAAATACTGCGCCAACTGCGAGGCCAAAGGTCCCCGATGGGCTTCCTGGAATATTGGTGTGTTTATTTGCATCAGATGTGCTGGAATTCATAGAAATCTTGGGGTTCATATATCCAGGGTCAAGTCAGTCAACCTAGACCAATGGACACCAGAACAGATACAGTGTATGCAAGATATGGGAAATACTAAAGCAAGACTACTTTATGAAGCCAATCTTTCAGAAAACTTTCGAAAACCACAGACAGATCAAGCAGTAGAATTTTTCATCAGAGATAAATATGAAAAGAAGAAATACTATGATAAAAATGCTATAGCTATTACAAATAAAGAAAAGGAGAAAAAAAAGGAAGAGAAAAAGAAAGAAAAGGAGCCAGAAAAGCCTGCCAAACCACTAACAACTGAAAAGCTGCAGAAGAAAGACGATCAACAACTGGAGCCGAAGAAAAGCACCAGCCCGAAAACTGCTGCAGAGCCCACTGTTGACCTCTTAGGACTTGATGGTCCTGCTGAGGCACCAGTGACCAATGGGAGTACAACCACAGTGCCACCCCTGAATGACGATCTGGACATTTTTGGACCAATGTTTTCTAATCCTTTACCTGCAACTGTCATGCCCCCAGCTCAGGGGACAGCCTCTGTACCAGCAGCTGCTACCCTATCTACTGTAACATCTGGGGATTTGGATCTGTTCACTGAGCAAACTACAAAGTCAGAAGAAGTAGCAAAGAAACAACTCTCCAAAGACTCCATCTTATCTCTGTATGGCACAGGAACACAGCAAAGCACTCCTGGTGTGTTTATGGGACCTGCAAATATACCATTTACCTCACAAGCAGCGACTGCATTTCAAGGTTTTCCTTCCATGGGTGTGCCAGTGCCTGCGGCTCCCGGTCTTATAGGAAACATGATGGGACAAAATACTAGCATGATGGTGGCCTTGCCCATGCCCAATGGGTTTATGGGAAATGCACAGACTGGAGTGATGCAACTTCTTCAGAATGTTGTTGGCCCTCAAGGAGGAATGGTAGGACAGATGGGTACACCACTAAGTAAGTTTGGCCTGCCACAAGCTCAGCAGCCTCAGTGGAATCTCTCACAGATGAATCAGCAAATGGCTGGCATGAGTCTCAGTAGTGCAAACCCGACCGCAGGTTTTGGCCAGCCCCCAAGCACAACAGCAGGGTGGTCTGGAAGCTCATCGGGACAGACTCTGAGCACACAGCTGTGGAAGTGAAAAGCCGCAGCAGAGTTTCATCCAGAACCAACACCCGACATTCCTCGCTACAAAGGCATCTGGTTCCCGTTTATTCATGTACATATGTATTTTCTTTTCCCCCATTTGTTCGCATTAAGAATTACCTGATTGACCGTGCTGACTAAATTTGATGTGAAAGCAGGTTGAGAAACCCATCTTCTGTGGAAGGCAGCTTTGCTCATGTTTCCCATGATGTCATAAACCACATTGAGAAGCTGCTCAGTTCGCATAATCGGTTTTATTCTCAAAATTATAGCTCTAATGTTTGCATATAAGGGAAGTAGTTATCATGTTAGTAATAATTCTAACAGTATAAACCCCACCCCCAAATTAGCCAGTAATCCTGTAGGAAGGTACTGTATGATCAAATGTTTAATCATATAAATAGAATGTAAATGTATCACTGAACACTGTTTTCTAGTATATCAGATTCTTTTATTCATCACTCACTTCACTGTGCTGTTGTTATGATGTGCTTAACAGGGAACATGATTAGTGAAAGGAGATAAACCTGGATGTTACTGTAAAACCTAATGATTTAAGAATTCAAATTTTTGCTGCCTCTTATAATTTGGACCTCTTCTCATGTACATAGTGCTAATATGAAGACCTTTTTTCTGCACTATATGCACACAGAGTAACTATAACAAAGCCACTTTTAATCCTTGAAGGTATATCCAGGTTTATGACAGTAATTGTGTTTACATTTTATGGTGCCTAGTATTGACAAAATGGTATTTCCCTATATTAAACAGATGAATCCACAAAAAAAAAACAAAAAAAGATACACTAGAAGAAAAATAGATTCATCAACCAAAGAAATTCTTAAATCCAACAGATTCCTAACACAAAATATCCAGGAAATATAGTACACCACGAAAAGACCAAACCTAAGAATAATAGGTATAGGAGAATTGAAGAAAACCACATCAAGGGGCCAGGAAACATACTCAACAAAATCAAAGGAGAAAATTTCCCAACCTAAAGAAAGACATGCCAATGAAGTTACAAGAAGCTTACAGAACACCAAAGAGAGTGGACCACAAAAAAAGTTCCCTCACCATATAATAAAGACCCAAAACATAAGAGAAAGGAAAGAATATTAAGAGCAGCTAAGGAAAAAGGTGAAGTAACATATAAAGGCAAATCTATCAGAATTACACATGACTTCTCTATGGAAATTCTGAAAGTGAGAAGGTCCTGGATAGATATTCTACCAAAACTAAGAGACCAATGGAATTGAATTGAGCACCCTGATATTAACCCATACATGTATGAACATCGGATTTTCAACAAAGAAGCTAAAAATATACAATGGAAAAAGAAAGCATCTTCAACAATTGGTGCTGGCATAACTGGATGCTAGCATGTAGAATAATGTGGATAGATCCATGTCTATCACCATGCACAAATCTTAAGTCCAAATGGATAAAAGAACTCAACATAAATCCAGTCACAGTGAAACACTTAGAAGAGAGAGTGGGTGGTACCCTTGAACGAATTGGTATAGGAGACTGCTTCCTGAACATAACACCAGTAGCACAGACAGTGAGGTAAACAAATAATACATGGGACTTCCCAAAACTGAGAAGCTAATGTAAGGCAAAGGACACAGTCAGCAAAACCAAAAGACAGCCCAAAAACTGGGAAAAGATACTCACTAATCCCATATCTGACAGAGGACTGATATCCAAAATTTACAAAGAACTCAAGAAGCAAGTCTCCAAAACACAAAAGGATCCAATTAAACAAAGTGGGTTACAGAACTACGTAGAGAATTCGCAATAGAGGAGTCTAAAATAACTGAGAGGCACTTGAGAAAGTGCTCAGCATCCATAGCCATTCAGGAAATGCAAATCAAAACAACTCAGAGATACCATTTTATTCCTGTCAGAATGGCAAAAATCAAAAACACCAACAACAATTTATGTTGGACAGGTTGTGGAGAAAGGGTAACACTACTCCACTGCTGGTGGGAATGCCAACTTGTACAGCCACTTTGGAAATCAGTATGGAGATTCCTCAGGAAAATGGGAATAAACCTACTACAAGACCTAGCAATTCCACTCTTACGCATATACCCAAAAGATGAACATTCATACAACAAGGACATCTGTTCCCCTATATTCACAGCAGCATTATTTGTAATAGCCAGAACTTGGAAGCAACCTAGATGCCCCTCACCTGAAGAGTGGATAGAGAAAATGTGGTACATTTACACAATGGAGTACTATTCACTGGAAAAAAAAACAATGAAATCCTGAAATTTGCAAGCAAATGGATGACACTAGAAGAAACTAGTCACAAAAAGACAAACATGGTATGTACTCACTCATATATGAATTTTAGACAAGACTCAGGGGACTATCAGCCTACAATTCCATGGCCAGAGAGTCTGGAAAACAGAACCTTCAACCAATGACTGATGGAAGCAGAGGCAGATACCCACAGCTAAACACTAAGCTGAACTCAAGGAACCCAGTGACAGAGAGGGAGCACTGATGAGCATAGGAGTCAAGGCTTGGCTTGTTCAACCCACAGAAACAGCTGACCTGAACGAGGGAGAGTTCTTGAACCCCAGATTGATGGCTGGGAATCCAGCATGGGGCTAATCCAGACCCCGTAAATGTGGGTGTCAGTGAGGAGGCCTAGGCAATCTATGTGGTTGGGTAGTAGATCAGTATTTACCCCTGGCATACAAATGGACTTTGGGTGCCCATCCACAATGAGAGATGCTTTCTTAGCCTGGACTCTTGGGGGAGTGCCTAGGCCCTGCCCAGAATGAAATCACCAAATATGGACACCCCCCATGGAGGGCCTCACCCTCCCTGAGTAAAAGAGTGGGGATTGGGGTTGGAGGGGTTGGTAGGAGGGAGTGGGAGGAGGGGGGAGAAGGAGCTGGGATTGATATGTGAAGCAACCTTGTTTCTAATTTAAATTGAAAATTAAAAAAAGAAATTGCAGCTATGTAATCTACCATAATAACAACATGGAAGAAAAATCCACGTGAACATCTCAATAGATACAGAAAAGGCCTTTGACAAAATCCAGCCCCTCCTAATAATAATAGTGCTGGATAGACTAAGGATACAAGGAACACACCTGAACACAATGAAAGAAAATTACAGCAAGCCTATAGCCAACATTGTATTAAATGGGAAGAAACACAAAGCAATTTACCAAACTCAGGAAAAAGTCAACGTTGTCTATCATCCACTCTCTTTCTGTTTGACATAGTAATTGACGTTTTAACTAGAACAATTAGATAACTGATGGAGATCAAGGGAATGCAAATTGTAAAGAAGAAGCTAAAGTATTACTATTTGTAGATGATATGATAGTATACACAATTCATCGTAAAAATTCCACCAGGGACTCCTAAAGCTGTTAAACACTTTCACCAAAGTGGCTAAACACAAGATTAACTAAAACCAACTTGCTCTCTTATCTACAAATGATAATAGACCTTGAAATAATTCAGGGAAACAGCGCCCTTTATAATAGCCACAAATATTTTAAAGTATCTTGGTGTAACTCTAACCAAACAAGTGAAAGACATGTATGAAAAAACTTCAAGGTTTTAAGAAAGAAATTGAAGAAGATATCAAAAGATTGAAATATATCCCATGCTCAGAGATATGTAGAATTAATATAGTAAAGATGGCCACCTTACCAAAAGCAATCTACAGTTCCAAGGCAAGCCTCAATAAAATTCCAATACAATTGTTTACACAGAATTATAGACAATTCTCAACTTCATATGAAGAAACAAAAAAACCCAGGACAGCTAAAACAATCCTTAACGACAAAAGAACTTCTGGCGCATCACCATCCCTGATATCAAGTTGTACTGCAGAGATACAGTAATGGATGCTTTTGATATGGCAAATAAGATCCATCCAAAGGAAGTTCATTCTCCATTTGTTATATTAATTGATCTCTAATGTGATCCAAACCCACCAAATCATAAAATATTCTGAAGAACCAATAAAATTACAATCTCCATCTAAAGTATCTAATCAGTGTCACTTACCACCTTACTAGTTCAGATTGATGTTTCAGTGCCTTCCTTACTCCCTTCCAATTAATTACTAACAAATTTTCCTTTAATAAACATAGGAATGTAGCTTGAATTCACATAAACAATTATGCACTAGCAATAATGGGAAACAAACATCAAATAAGCACTCACACACACACAGACACACAAACACACACAATGCAATACTATTCAGTCTTTCAAAAACGTAAATCCTGCTACTTTTGACAAGAGATGAATCTGAAAAACATTAGACTAAGTGGAAAAATCCATATCTTATTTTTTTGTGGGACCTAATATAGATAAGCTCAGATGAGACTGGAATCAGTAATAAACACAATGCAGAGATTTGATGCAACGATACAAATTTTGGGTGAAAAGAATAATTCCCAAGAATTATTGCATAGGAGAATGGGGAGAGTAAAGAAAAAAATCACTGTAGACTTCAAAATAACTAGGAAAACAAACTCTTTCTTATTTGAAACTCAATTGGTAATATGATGTATATTTTCATCTTGCCAGTAGTCCAACTTATTCAATTGCTGTGTTACTTTGCTTGCTAAATTTTCAATTAAATAAAGTTTGTTGAGACCTTATAAATGTGAACTCTAAGATTTAAGATGAATTTACTTATATTATGTTTTCAAAGATCTGAAGCATTTACTCTTTAATGTTTGGATCAGTTACTTCCATATTAAAAATATTTCTCCCAGACCCCAAGGAACAGTGCAAGAAGAAGCAATTATATTTCAGAAATGAGTTTTTCAAAAGCAACTTCAATTCAATCCATCAATATTTTTCTGGAACCTGTTCTTCAAACTTCTGAAGTGAATAAACCGATTGCATGTTTGATATGTGTCTTACAGCCCCTTGCAAATAATAGGTCTGATACAGAAGGTGACTAGAGATCTCTAAGAAGCTGTCTCCCTCATTGTCATCTCAGCAATGTCTGCTAGGTGCAAAACCTACTGGATCTATTTTATCATAGTAGTTGATTATTTCTAAGTTTATTAAATATGATTTAAAGTGAAAAAACTCAACAGAAAGCTTGTCATTGCATCATGCTGACTTT